CTATCTATCTATCTATCTATCTATCTCTAACTCTCGCAGCCTCTGTGTATACAGTACATATGTCTGTTTGTGTCTGTTTGCGTTGCAATGGCCACCAAACATAAACTTGACTCACAGGATCCCCACTACCAAGAGGGGAGACGCATGGCTCATGAACTGAAACTAGACCGTGTTCTAGCTGAAGCCAGGGTAAGAGTTTTTATATACCTCAATCATTTTATACTTGAACATGTGTATGGGTGACAAATTAAAGTAAAAATGTGATGAATGTAGAAGCAGGATGAGTGCAGAAGATTACATGCAGGTTACATGATGCATTTAACATCCTCTTTGGCATGTGTAACTGAGGGAATATATTTTGGAAAAAGGAATATATTTTGGAGTTACAGAGACTTGGAGAATCTATGGCAAGGCTCATTTAAGCCATTCAACACCTTACTAACACACTATGTTGTGTTTTCCTTTCACTAATCACCTGTCTTTTGGTTCCAGTACCTTTAACAACATCAGTCTTACAATAAATATTCACTCCAACACACAGACAGCAGCTGTGGAGAGAAAACGTGCACGCTCTGTAGGAGACCCTCCACAGACCTCTAAAAGGGAGTTTTTAGGACATGGCAAGCCGAGGGGGAGGCAAGGAGGCCGACGCCAAGCTTCAGCTACAGGTTATATCTGAATTATTTTACATTTGTAGGAATTTACTATGTAGATGTTGGACCAAATCAAATTAGAACACTGTAATTGATTGTTGAGAGTTTAAACTATTCTAATATCTAAAAAAACATTTAAAAAGTACATAAACCTTTCAGTGGCACTATAGTAGAAGACATTACCAAGTTCTTAACAGAAATATGTCTGATTTCATAAATTGTTCAGTTTTGGTTAAAAAAAAAAAAAAACATGCTGTGATAGCCTAACATGTTTTTCTTCTTCTATGTACTGTTTTACAGTCACACACACCCCGGTTGAATGCTCCCTTTCATCCAGTGTGGAGGTTCCACTTACTGTACCCTCAGCAGAACTAAATCCTCACGAGCAATTTGGTAAATCAAAGTGATGAATTTAAGTTTAAATCTAAAATCCATGTGTGATTAAAGAAAAACCCTTTAGACAAAACTGACTGCCGTAAATAGATTAAGAACACAATTTAGTAAAGATTAAAGCTAGTTTGATACTGAATCATGAAATGGTGTTTATTCTAAATATTGATCAATTGACTTTGTGGTCAATTGGTGGGGTTGATAGGTGGGGTAGATGAGGACAATTGGTCCTCATCTAAATTGTCCCTTACAGCTTTATTTCATATTTTCTTTACAGAAAAAAATATGGAGAGGCTCTCCGATATTTTGACGTCTTATCCTTCTGCTGAGCCTCAGAAAAGCTCTGCATCATCATGGTCTTTTCGGCAGCAGAAAGCCTCAGAGCGCTGGAAAGAAGCAAGACCATACCACCTAAAATGCCTTATTGCAAAAGAGGCTGTTGGTCAGCCATTGTGTTGGCTTTGCCATGAGCCTGCTGTTATTAGGTTGGTTTTAATGTTTAGTGCCCTGCTTTATAGGCTAAGGTGCATGTGTTTTGGGGGACACCCAGATGAAAACCACATTTATGAGAAAAGTAAGTTTTCTCCCTAGGTGCAGAAAGTGTCTTCCTGAGGAGTGGTTCTGTGGGGACTGTGATGTATTGCATCACAAAAAACAGCCACTCCACAACAGGGAATGTGTGAATAATGTTTTTTTTTAAGCCATTCCTCCAACCTCATGTGTCATTAAGGGCAAGATGGATATTTCATCCATGAGCAAGGTATGTTCTTCCAAAAGCCCTCATTTGGCTGTTCATGTTTGTCTGCAGCCAGTTACAGATAATCTAAATTAGTGCTTTTCTTTCTTTTTGCCAGCTTGCATTTTGCCAACAGTGAAGGCGCCAGACTGCTCCTGTGAAGGCACAAACTTCACCATATTACCGGGCAAACCAGTGATTTTAATTACCATCAATGGTAAGAACAATTCACTATTTAGATTGCTATTGTAGATTTGATGTTTTTCATACTAGTGTGCTGTGGCATTGTGCTTACAATTGCAGTCGTGTCAAAATCTATGGTATAGCACATGGTATTGTCATTAGCCAACACAGCTGTTTGTAATTTGATGATTTAGACAAATGTAAACAATGTGTGATACTACTCAAGAAGTCTGGTTTGAGTGCCAGGATTATAGGAACTTGTGCAGTGTCTCTCAACCATTCACAATGTGCAGAATTACCTAACTGTTTTAAAATTAATTTTTAAATGTACTTTTTTGTTAAAAGGGCGTTTTGACTTGCATCAGCCACTATATGTATGTCAAATGTGCCAGCATCAGTGGATCCCTGACTTGAAGGACCTCCTTAGGAGTGGATATTGGCCTGCCTCTGTCACCAGTTCCACACTTTATACATTGGACCTCCTGAGCTCCTTTCAGGAACTCAAGGTCATCTCTCCGGGATTCTCCAGACAAGCCTTCGCAAAGCTGCTGGACTATCGCACTAAGATTGGAGGAAGAGTAAGTGTAATTGTTATTACCATATTATAAAATTTCTTTCCATTATCAGACATTGTTACATATACTATTTCATTCTATATATCTTCCAGTCTGGACAAATCAACGGCGATACACTACAGCGCAGCTTGTTAGAGTTTTCATATGCTTCATTTGCCAGCTCTGAGCTCTGCTATGGTGCTCCTTTCACCTGCCCAGCCTGCATGCCGGAAATGTTGGCTGTTTTGGAAACAGATTTTCTTTCTTCCTCAGCTCTGATGATCCTGCCTTTTTTGAGGGGCTCTTTGTGGCTGAAGACATTGCGGTGTCTAGATTTGTGGAAACCATACATAAAGCAGTGAGAAATGCAAGTTTCAATCATAACTTGACTGAAAAGTTGTCACAAAAAGAACCATATATGTCCGACCTTGATTTCCTCCCCACTTCAACTACTTCTACCAACCAACTACTCCAAAATCAAACTGAGAGAATAAATGCCATATATTGTATGACAGCATTGCTTTTATTTAATTTGTTTTGTTTGTTATGTGTGTCATAGACACAGGAAAAAGGCACATGTGGGGACTCCCAGTGGATAGCAGCGAGGGAGACATCAAGGAGGGCTTCCAAATTAGATGAAGAGGGGATGGAGGTTGCAGTGTGTCGCCATGGATTCCTTCAGAAAGCTCTTAATATGTACAGGGGGGATATATTTGCCTACCCTCTGTATCTTCAGAAGGAGCTCATGCCAGCCAAGGCGCAATTCTTTGCAATGGATGTGGCTTGCAAATATTGGCCATACTTGGAGAAAGTGCCAAGATAGTGCTAGTGTCCTTCCTGCTCTTCAGGATCTGACCACAATGAAACCTTTCCTCAGTGTGATACATGCTCGAACCCATGCTACTAAGTGTGAAGTATGTATAATATTTTTGCATCACATGTACATTTGTAATGTTTACAAGCACATTAATAACGTGAAATTAAAGTGAAGGCATGCACCAAGAGCTTGTAACACTCCAAAGAGAAAGGAAAAATTGAAATCGCATCATATGACCCCTTTAAGACAAATTGTGCCCATTTAATTAAATTGAATTTCTTTCACCATTTACTAATAGATTAAATGGAGTGGTAGGAACCAGGAAGGAGCAGGGACAACCGCCGGTGAGGAGGTCGAGCAAGTGAACAGCTACCTCTCACGTTGTGCCCTGACAACCAAATATATGTCCAAAGCAGGTAATCAGATTGTTTGTAATATTTTTTATTTTTTTTATTCTATTGTTATTGTTATTTTTTTTTTTTAGATTAAGCATCATAACCTTATTATTTGCTTTAAACAGCATGGGTGGACATGCTTACATTGCATGCAATGGGGTGGAACCACAAAAACATCTCTCTCTACATTAGTCACTTTCAACAAGATATGTGAAGGTAAGTCCTATTAATTTTTTTTGTGTATCCTTTTGTTGTGTGCACTTGGCCTGTTTTTTAATCATACTAAGTCCTGATTATTGTATAACACTGTTCATCAGACTTGTCAGAGACTCCGGGATGAAATGGCAAGGCTAGCTGAACTAAAAACAGAGTTACTTTGCACAGATTAAGTGGTGTCACAGTGGCTTTCTTATGTGAAGGAACGGGCAGCTTTATCTGGCGGTAAGCATGACCACATAAAAGAAACAGCAAATATCCTTTTCCACTACTGTCTGAAATTTAAGTTTGATATTAAAGAGCAGCTAAAGATAATAGGCTGATCATCTATGGGTTACAGCAAACTACATGTCACCATCAGATGTTTTGCAACGTTTATTTTGGGTATTTCAGTTTCCCTGCAGGAAGTGCACATACCAAGTTCAATTAAGTATTAAAAGAAATATCAATGAAATATTAATGAAGGATTAAAAGGGGTTTCATATACAAATACAAATTCAAACTCTGAAACGGTTCTGCGTCGTTTTAACAGTGAATTTGCTTTCACTATTACTTCTACAGAGACACCAGATGCATCTCATGCCAGTCAAGGCACCACACACAGAGGACTTCAGCAGTCAGTTGAGGGGCTTTACCTTAGTGTGAGGCAGCGGAAGCAAACCCTTTACCGTCAGAATGGTATAACTACAGAATATAATAGGTTGATATATTCAAGCCACTGTATGCAGCCTACTAATACATGTTACATGTACAAGGTTGTAGATTGCAACCAACTCCCTTCACCTCTCCCTTTCCAAGCTGTAGTAGAACTACTGTGGCAGACAAGAAACATTGATTGGTCCTATCTCTAGCCAGTGTTTGTTTGCCCATTGTGGTCTACCGTAGGAACATGGTGGCCTCTGTGGAAGGGGAGCATATTTAGATAAAACCTGCCCATTCTAAAGTAATTATAGCACAGCAATTCTTATTTTCAGGAATGTGTGTTTCCCCTAAATGTTACACACTGGACCTTTGGTTTATCTGTTTGTAAATCTAAATTCAATTACTGCAGCTTTGCTTAATTTTTTTTGTGGGTGCAATATATCTTTCCTTATTGAACAGTGCTGTTACAAACCTCTACACCTGTACCTCCTGTCTTTCTAGACAGCAGCAAGCTTCGCCACCGCCTTCGAAGGAAGCTGGCAGAAGACAAAAAGCTCCTTCAGGAGATAAGAGAAATACAATGGTCTTGTACTAGACTCTGCCACTAACATTGATATAGCTGTGGTGGAGCATGCCCTGACTGGAGAGAGCACTGTGTCTCAAATATGGCTGTGGGAGGTTCATGGCAGTGGTATGTCAGTTTTCAGATGCTTCACAAGAATTTATTTACAGTTCTGCTATATAGAGCACACTGAACTAAGACATGCATGTTACATTGAGAGTGGTAATGTTCATTTAGTTAATGGGCACATTTCCAGTTTTCTTATGTATCGATTTGATTTAAAAAAAAGTACATGTTTGTAGTTACAAAACATTGAAATGCTATTATGCTCATGTATAGATTGTCTCATGTATTCATATAACTGTTGTTGATTCTTAGCAAACATTTCAATCAAGAAACAACTGCATGACCAAGTGATGTTGACAATGCGACTGCAAGAGGAAAAAAGCATTTTGGTGTTGGAGATGGCACAACACTGCACATGGTTGCAGAGCCTGGCAGTGGTTCTGAAGAACAAGATAGCTGAGGAGGGTAAGTTGAATAAAAACCCAGTCCATTTAAAGTATGAATTAAAAAAAAAACATATCAGTCTCAGTCACAGAACTTGGATGGAGTAGAACGGTTATTGCTCTATTTGCCATGGTCATTTGGCTTGCACATAATAAAAAGGGGACTATAGTTGTTCACTATGGTAACAAGTCAGTAAGGCTTTAAAGTGTGTCACATTTACTAGAGAGATTTGTTGTACTGTGGCTGTTACATGAAAGCTGAAATTGACAACATAATTTTGAACATTAGAATTTGTGTCCTGGTGTGTTACACGAGGTTTGCATAACATCAAGATTAAGCTTATTATTATCTCCTCCAGTCAACATAGAAAATCTATGGTCAGCATCATCAAACACACCTTTTTCTTGATGTAACTTCTTGAATGCTACGCAAGGTGTTACTTTAGCACAACTGTAGTGAAGAAGAAAGATGTTAGCTATTCGACATTGGCTGCAGCACAAAACGCTTTTCTGCTGCTTTGGATTGCTGCATAAAGTCTCCTCAGTGAGCCATCAGAGTTTATACAGAAGGTAGCCAGGTAGTGTTACAATGATACACATAAAAATGCCAGCCATCCTGGTATATAGATTTTAATGGGTGAAATCTTTTTACTCCATTGAAGTTCTTTGGCCTCATGAAGCAGTCTTAATATGTAGTTTGTCCTTAATGTTATCTCTTTTGTATTTTGAGATGTAGATAAGGGAAATGAGGGACTTTGCTGTCTCTTAAGAAGAAGACTGTCAGAGGTGTCAGAAAGGTTGCAGGTGCTCGTCCAACAGTACAAGACTGCTTTAGGCCCTGAGGCCTCTGCCCTACATCTTGAAGCAGAAGATCAATGTGGCCTCAGTAGTCCAGACACCAGTGAGGATGAAGAAGAAAACACAATTTAGGTAATTCATTTATTCATATGTATGTTTGTTTGTTCTCAAAAATAGACCGGGGGTGTTCCATCAAGGTGGATAAAGGAAAAGCCTGGCTTAGGAACATTGCAGGGAAAAGTTGCAGCAACGTCAACTGGCCCGTCTCAGCTCGACTCAAAGCGGGCTGATGCCGCCGCTGCAACTAAGCTTGTCAATTTGCCAGATGCTGATTTTAGAGTATAAGGCATGGCACCTGTTTCAACAGTCAGTCAGCTTGTAGCAAAGTCAGCTGGTCAAGTTACTAAACTTTCGCCTGGTTGAAGTTTTGGATGGAGGAAAGACAGGATCAGGTCATAGATTTGTTTGAGGAACAACTGTGTCTGCATGACACAAGCCTTAAAATTTACTCAACTCTTCAGGGCTGCTTATGTACTCTATGCACAAGCACAGTACATGCTTATTCAAGCCTGGTTAAAGTCAACATTGACTAGACATGGCTACATTGTTTAAGTGGAATGGCTTGAGCCTGCAGTGAAAGTCAATGTTAATTCAAGCCAGGCTTTTTCAAGAGAGCACAGCTTTCATTAGCTGCGTTGATGGAATATCCCCATTACTGTTACTCTTCATAATTTATTTGTGTATTTATTGATGCTTTACACACCTTGTTCATTCTAAAACAGCTGAGATTCACCTTCTTATCCTACCTTTTGCATTTTTGTTTGTCTGTATTTTCCCAGATGGAAGCTGCACAAAGGACTGTGTTGAAGGAAATGGACTTGCCTAGTATTTGTGTATTTTTAGTATGCTGATTGATTTACCACATCAAAATCTGTATGCATTCTATATTGTTGAAAATTAAACCTGTCTGTAGATTGCCAAGCAATTCAGTAAGCACCAGGGGCGTGTCTATGTGGTGGCCAGGTGGCACCGGCCCCCCCTGAAATTTGGCTGGCCACCCCAGGTGCCCCCCCTACCAGATGTCTCGCCATAGGCTTGTTTTTAGTACATTTCTAACTCAATTCAAATTATATTCTAAGTACAAAATTCGAATTGAGTTTTTCAGCCATTTTGACAGCCCTAGAGTGTGTGAGTGCGTGCGCGTGAGTGTGTGTGTGTGTGCAGGGGCGTGTCTACGT